GACCCCAAAGGTTCTGTGTGTTCAGTGTCTGTTGATTGGTTGCGTAGAAAGAGGTCATCAGGAGCTTTCATTTGATATATGTATTAAAAACTGTTCATTTGAGTCAGCAGTGCTCTGCGGCGTCTCATCTCCTCTAACTGCTGCTGTTGCCCTGTGCATTTGTAAAATCTGCTGTAAGTGTGCTGTAACCGCTTGCTGCCTCCTACTGCTGCTGCCGCTCATGTAGGAAAGACCTTTTTTTCCCCACAGCAGACATTTTGACTCAAAGCAGGGAAAGCTCAGGTGCACTTAATAATGATAACGATGGAGCTGGCTCCTGCAGCCGTCGTTACTGGGATCAATTACACCTGCGACTGACGTGCCAAAGTGTCTGCTGAGGGAAAAGCTCAGTTTAATATGCTAGCTTGCCTGCAAGAAATACCATGATGTAACTTTGCAAAAGATAGAAGAGGGAAGAATTTACGGCATGTGTTCCCTGCTCCGACTGCTATTTAGTGACTCCATTGGTTTAGCAGAAGTTGTATTGGCTGTGTGTTACAAATTACTACTTTACTGCTTGTGTACTGTCATTAGTATCATGAGTTAATGTCCTGGCTGCCTGCAGGACTACAGCAGTGCTTGTGGGCAATGTTTTGGTGTCTGTTGATTTCTAATCGTATGCTGCTACAACACTAACACTCACTATGTTTACATTCACAAAGTAGTCCTAACATTGTTTATCATATGTCGTTTTCAACAGGTGATGGACTCGTTTGAACGTGCAAAGCAGCTACCTTCTCGAAAAGACCAGCATTGCGATAGTTCCCCATGTCCCAGACCCTGCTGGTATCCAAGTTTTTAACAGTGTTTAAAAGTAGGTGTGCTTCTCCTTCCAACCAGAAATGTGGGCGTTTCTTTTTGGCGTGCATCTCTACCCATACCTTGTAAACCATTGGCGAGTTGGTTTGTGTACAACGTATCCATGACTGCACAGAGCTGACCGTAAACACGCAAGAGGCTGTATGTACACGTCCAAATAATGCTTCTAGGGTGCTTTCAGACCTAGAGTTCACGAATCTGGTCCGAATCAGGGACTCATTTTGTCACAAAGTTAGAGTTGGTTCGTGTTCTCACGGCAGCATTTACAACTGGACCAGATCAAATGCCTTGCGCCAGAAAGCTGCTTTTGATTGGTCAGAATTTCCATGTGGGAAAAATCCAGGTAGTAAACAAAACGTTGAAGAAGAGTACACTTGCAAGATAAATGTTACACTTTCTAATGTCACAATGGAGGGACAACTACGCAGGTTGATTTTAGCGCTGCTCATCGTGGACTATATTGCTGTCATTGTTCATTTTAGTCAAACCATACAGTTTGAAAACGAGGCGCGGCTCCAACTAGAAAACAATGTTTTGATGCATTGGATGTGCTGAATGTGCATATTAAGGCAGTACAGGAGGAGGTGCACATTAATAATCCTCCAGGACTGTAACATGCTCATGTTTAACCCAAACAATGTGTCATGTGACTGCAGTTGGTTCAGATCCAGGTCGGAACACGTTCTCACCACAAATAAACCGCACCAGAGTTTGTTTGCAACTGGACCGAGACCACCTCTTCAAGAAGGTCTCGGTCCGGTTGTTTTGGTGCACACCTGAGTGTGATTACTGAGTTCACACCCGCCCAAAAGGACCAAACTTGAGTTCGATTGCCCCAACATGTAGTCACTGGTATGCATGTATGTAATGTAAATCACGTTTGTAGAGGCTGAATGTCCTGTATTTTTTAGGATGTTGTGGCAGATGGATTGTGATGTTTTCAAACTTGATGTTTAAATCTATCATGTTGAGCGTTATGGATTGAATTGGTTTTGTGGCTGTTTCTTGCCTGTTTTCGGAGCTTACTATTAGCTCACTGTAAACTTGAGTGATATTGTATACTGGCTTTAGGGAAGTAAACAACTGCCATCTTGAACACAGCCCACTCATATGGGAAACTGTACGCTTTGACTTTGTCACTCTCCAGTGTCTACTGTGAGAAGCAGATGGAGGTGTATGCTTGCAGGATTAAAGGCCAAATATCATCTCAGCGCACACTCTGTATCCACCTACATTTCCATGTGAGTTGGCGGACTGAATTTACATTGTTGAAAGGCGCAGGCTTCCCCGAGGACATCACACTGTTGACAGCAAAAGTCATGTTTTTATTCTGGAAAAAAAGGTTCACTTCTCTTTACAAAACACAACACATTTCTTTTCAGCTATACAGTTTTCTATAATTTAACCAAACAATCACAATCATCAAAAAACACCTAACATCATTTTAAGAAGCTCTCTCTGTGTCACAAAGCCGCTCTGAGACAGGAACCACAACCTGATGTCCCTGAGCAGAGAGAAAAGAAATACACATGTAAAAAAAAACATTTTAATGTAGTTGTCATGATGCCTACTGTAGCCTGTCTATGTGGAAGAATCAGAGAGGGTGGGCTACTGTGACAGTGACGGCACAGTGTTGGCTTCTTCACATAAAATAACATGTATTAATAAATTAAGTTTGATCGTTTGATCACATGAAATGACACATCTTCATTTGACACAAGGAACACGACACATTTCAGTTCTTGCTTGGCACAAGAGGCGTAAAGACTCAGTTCAAGCTTTGGCACCGCTGTGGAGTTTTCCAGTGATCTGTTTTTAACGTTTACAGTCACAAGAATTTACAATGCACCAGGTGCAAACAATCTTGAGCGACTCGGACAACAGAATGTGAATTGGCTACTGGCTTTTAATTGATTGGGGTGATTTACTACACCGCACTGTATTAGGCCCTGATCACACAGGAAGAGTTGCAACAGCTGGAGGCGGCTTTTTGTAATTGTTTTATGTCTATGATAATGAAGCTTTTTGCTCATTGTTTTTGCACCGCGACGCACCTTGCGTTTCTGCGCTCTAGGCGCCTGGCATTTTTGCCGGCACACTCTGAACTCCTTTTACTCAGGGAGCAAAAGCGCCCCACATCATCTCCGCTTTCTTCGTATTGTCCAATGGGGTGATTTGAGAGGTGGGCCTTCTGTGGTAGTCACGACAACAAGTTTACAGTTGGTAAACAATGGAGGAGAAACTGGTGGTAGCGGTTGCTGGATACCCAGAGCTATACGGCCAGACAATAGACAGCAGGTTGTCAAACCGCCCCCGAGTCCTCCTAAAATATGCCTGGAAACAGCCATCATGGAGGAGAAGCTCCTGGACCAACTGGTGGTACTCCCCATGATCCACCCTCTTTTTTAGGGTCTCATGTACCCACACAGATCTCTGTTTCCCTGTGCCCAAGAAACTATTTACTGACAGCCTCTCACCCTCAACCAGAGCTACAGCAAGTACCCTCTGCCTCAACATGTTAGGAACTAGATGCTTACTACTGTGAAATAAATAAGGGTAAGGAGGTTCCTGGCAACAATAAAAAGGCGCAGCAAGCATTTTTTTTTTTTTACTCATGGCATTCAATTTTTTTATTATAAAGGCAGTGCGGTGCCTCCTGTGTGATCGGGGCGTAGGAGGGCGGTGGTACCTGAAGGTGCCTGAGCACTGGCATGCTTTTTATGTTATGGATTTACTGTGTTAAGAGTAATAGTTAAAGGCGAGAGCACCCTGAGGGTAATTAATCAGAATTTTCATTTAAAATATTTTAAATAGTACACCACTGATTTAGCATTCCATTCTGATAACATCGGACTCATAATGGACAGTTTAAAAGAAAAAGGATTGAAATTGATGCAGCAGAACCAGAGATAGCATCTTTTTTTTAAAAATTGCACACATCCTTATTTCTTGTTAAAACCTGGAGCCTTCTTTACCAGCAATGCAACTTGTCCGCCGGGAGTTCGGACAGAGATTCGGGTGTTACGCCAGTAGCAGCTAGCCTCAAGCACAGATGAGGAGTACGCTCACTCTGGTCTAACTCCACTGTTGTTTTAGCATCTTCAGACTTGTAGTTTTTAGCCGCAACTGACATTGACTCAAGTGACATCCAGAGTCCTGCATCAGGTCAAGTACCTGCACAACTGTCTAAATTTTATTCAGTTCTGGGTTAAACAAAGAACACGCAGGTTGGATTGTGGGTGTTGGATCATAAATATTAAAATAAATTGAATACTGACTAATAATTTAATCCTCTGTCTGCTGACTTGAGTTGAGTCTCTCTTCTGTGCCAGCTGGAATATGAGAGCCGCGTCAATCAGGTGTGTTACTAACAGTCGCGTTAACTGTACAGATGTGTTGCTCAACGGCTTGTTTGCAGGCAACTTGGAGGCAAAAACGACCAACACTGCGCAGGTGCTTCGCGGAAGTGGAAGAAAACAAAGGCCACTTTAAGGGAGTGATCACACAGAAATGAGATGCTAGAGATGCGGATGCTTCAAAGACGCTTGAAACGCTGGAAGCGCTCATTCAATGCGCGCTAGCTACTGGCGTCTGACGCTCCAAAAGTTGAAAATATTTTAACTTTTCAGCGTCTAAAAAGAAGCGTCTACAAAAACGCACGTCTAAAAAGACGCTTGAACGCTGGTCAGCCGGTATCATAGGAAAACAATGGTTTTACTGGCATCACGTTTCTAGCGTTTCATCTCGGTGTGATCGCTCCCTAAGTCTTGAAAATAGTAAAGACAGAAACACTCGCAGAGAAACAGCGGCAGATGTCATAAACCTTCTCCTTCAGTCCAGAGGAGCGGAGTTAGCTAATGTCAAACGATAACATTAAAGCGTTAGCACTGTTGCCTCACAGCCAAAGAGTTCCTGGTTTGAACCCAGGGGTGGGGGAGCCCTTCTGTGCGCAGTTTGCATGTTCTCCCCATGTCAGCATGGGTTTTCTCTGGGTACTCTGGCTTCCTCCCACAGTCCAAAAGACATGCAGGTTAATTGGTGACTTTAAATTGTCCGTAGGTGTGAATATGAGCATGAATGGTTGTCTGTCTCTATGTGTCAGCCCTGTGATCGTCTGGTGACCTGTCCACCTTGCCTCTTGACCAGTGTCAGCTGGGATAGGCTCCAGCCCCTCCCGACCCCTAACAGGATAAGCAGTTACAGAAAATAATGAATGTATACCTTGAGTTGCAATTACAATGTGCTGTGACAACTTCTCTGTGATTTTCAACATCGTTTCACCAAACCTCTGGGAACGGTTGAGCTAACGGTACCTAGTAACATTAGCCTGACAGCGGTGCATCCATGTACAGAGCTTTAATACAAAAGCACATCTTCTCACCCGACCAGAAACAAGATGACAGTTGTTTGACTCATAGACCTGACCACACACAAAATAGTTATAGTCCACTAGACTCGTAATGGACGCAGTGTCAAGTTCTGCCTGGTACGTGCATTGTCTTCTTTCAAAATACACTTCGTTTTCACAGGAAATATACTGTACAACCACGCAAATTGATGTTTTTTTTCTCCAACAACTAACGCAGGTGGTTGGGTTTAGGAAAAAAGAGCAGGGTTTGGCTTCAGAATCATACAGGACTGAATGAAAGTTAGTAATTGTTGGACCCATCCACCACCGCCCCTGCCTGCCCTACTCGAAGTTTCGCCGCCTTTACTTTTGCTCCTGTTCCATCGTGTTTCCCCTTGATGCCACCGAGCACCAGTAAACTACAATGGCGACTGGCTGTGTATCATGCCAACGTTAAAGGACGGCTTTTCTCGTCTGTGTCTGACGGCACAAGTCACTGCCTACACGCCGGATTTCGACTTCAGGTTGAGTATATAGATGATCACTTCCTGCCCTCTATCTGAATTTCGTCATAATAGCCACTCGATTGCAAACAAGCTTATGATCAGAATATGTAAAAAATATTCATTGAAATTTTATGTCCTGAATTACCTTTACATAAAATATATCGTCTCAGTTTAACATGTATGAAATCACCCAAGATGATCACTTTAAACCTGTTGCCTAATCAAGTTACTTTAACAGCGCAATAATTATCATAGAATTTGCGGTTTTGGGTCCCGGGGTTAGGTTGTAAAACTAATTGGCCATATTTGTGGGGGGCGGGGCGGGAGCAGCATTGCAAGTTGCGGTGCCAGTTTGGCAGTAGAACTCCACAAACCAGATGCCGTCATTTACCCAATTCAAGCTGACATCTCCAAACCTATCCTGCAGAAATTATTTAAATACTTTTGCTACATCTTCATTCAAATTAAGTGCTTTATAACATACCCAAGTTTTTATTAATAGTGAAATAATAACTAGACTTAAGATTGTTTTCTTTTGGACTTTGCGGTTATTTGCCTTTGATTTCAGTGCATCATTGAACAACTGAGCATTGCTTTATAAAACTCAATAATAAAGGTGACTTTAGTCGTCTGAGCCACAGTACAGCACTGGTGGTGACGTATTATCGGGCACAACTCTTACGCCCTTGAATCCCAAACATGCCAAGCCTCAAACTGTCTCCCACAAGCATCACAGGCCACGACTCTACAGAATTTGTCTTTCCTGTCTCGTAGAGAGGGCTTTTAGCCTCCAGCTCTTTTATATCCTGTCCTGCTTCGCTCTCTGAAGGGCACGCTGCGTCATCACGGAAAGAACAGTGCAGCGACTCTCTCAGTTCAAAGGGTGCTCCTCTGCATCCCGAGCCCACGCTCTAATCCTGAGTCCCTGCCTCTCCATGATGTTCCACAGCTTGCGCAGGTTGGACTGGGTGATGACATCATCCGGCTTGAGCTGGAGTGCACGCAGGTAGTTGGCCTCCGCTTCAGGAAGTTTCCCGTTCAGGTGGAGGATGGCACCGAGGTTCATCAGAGCAGCCGGGTACTAGGAGAGGGCAGAGACACAGTGAGGGAAGGAGACAGAGAGACGCATAATAATTACAGTGAGGTGTGAGGACTGACAGGATTACTGTACTTGTGGCAACTGTGTCGACCTTGGATTTATCTGTCTGGGCAAGCTATTTTAGACTCACCCTTCTCAGCTCTACCTTTGACACAGACAGTTATGTGAGACACACATTTTAGGAAGTTTGCCAGGTCTTTTATGGACGGTGGATTAAATCAAGAGGCTGTGGTAAAATTTGCTTAAGACTTAGAAAATCAAATATGCATTAAATTAGCTCTAATGCTATCTCATAGCAGAGTAGCAGTCATGGCCAAAGACAAAAGGGTGTCCTTCAATAGTGCCACAGTGAACAAATAGGTGTCTGTGGGTGTGTGCTGAGTATTTTTATGCCTCTGTGCTGGCGACAGTCATGGTCAGAGGAAAATTGTTTTTAGGTTGTCTGTCTGTCCATCCCATTATCGTAAACACATAAATTCTCAAGAAGGCCTTGAGAAAATTTCTGCAAATTTCGTACAAATGTCCACTTGGACTCAACAATAAACCGGCCAGTATATTTTAAGAATAACTTGAGGGAAGTTATTGAAATTTGGCACAAACGTCCACTTGGACTTAAGAATAAACTGATTAGATTTTGGATGTCAAAGGTCACTGTGACCTTGCGTCCAACTCAGTCTGATGAACAAAACATCTCAAGAACACCTTAAGGGAAGTTCTTCAAACTTGGCACAAAGGTCCACCTGGGCTCATTGATGAACTAACTAGAATTTGATGGTCAAAGATCACTATGACCTTGTGTCCCTCTTATTGTTAACACAATATCTTAAGAAGGCCTTGAGAGAATGTCCCCAGATTGACACACATGTCCACCTTGACTCATGAATGAACTGATTAGAATTTGGAGGCCAAGTCAAGGTCAAGGTCACTGTGACCTTGCATCTGTCTCATTATCGTGGCCGCAGTATTTCATGAATAACTTGAGGGAAGTTCTTTAAATTTGCCACAAACCTTCACTTGGACTCGTAAATGAACTGATTAGAATTTGATGGTCAAAGGTCAAGGTCACTGTGACCTCGTCTGTTGCATTCTTATGAACGAGATATCTCAAAAACACCTTGAATAAATCTCTTCAAATTTGGTACAGTGTCAAAGATCAAAGGTCACTGTGACCTTGTGTCCACCTCAGTCTCATAAATGCAACACCTTGAGGGAAGTTTTTCAATTTTGGCACAAACGTCCACTTGCATTTATTGATTAACTGAGTAAAATTTGGTGGTCAAAAGTCACAAGTCACTGTGACCTTACAAAACATGATTGGACAAAATTTCACATAAATGTCTAATAGGATATAATAACAGAGTGATGACATTTTATATCCAAAAGATCAAATGTTAGCTTCAGTGTGACATCATAATGTTCTGCATAAAACATTTTTCAGACTAATTTTCGGTGTCATAACTCAGGGGAAGGGGAGACATTTGGTCAGATACTGAATTGGTGACGCTAATCTTGGGAGTCTTGTATGGATTGTATGGATCTTCTGTGCTGCCTTTTTGAAGATGTGTGAAACATTTATGTTTTCACAGACATGCGTGCTAACTGTAGGTGTGACTTGACTGGTTTGGGGAGGCATACAACTGCGAGGCAGTAATTCTAGTTTATGATATGGATGAATGTAACCATTTAGAGGTGTCTTTCCGTAGATAAATTTAATAAAATACCATCTTTAAGTTGTGAAATAAAACCATCTGGTCCTGAATAGTGTACCAGTCATGGAAATCTACAAAACCCAGGTCGTAGACATGACTCTCAGCAAGCCGTAACTAACAAACACACCCAAATCTCATCCTAAAAGTCATCGGCACCTCATCCCCCAGACCTGGCGTCGTTCCCAGGCCCACGTCCTTGCTGCATGACATATGGTTAGCAACTTGGCAACTACTTCACAGAATTTCTCTCCCCAAACACAACTGCTTGTCTCTTCTCAACGCTGATATTTCACTCGTTTACATTCCACTTCTCAAGCAGTGTTAAAAGACGAGCCTTGGGAGTGGGAGCTCACCTAATGGAACAAATGAACGCTTACAGAGCTGGAATAATTCAAGTGTTAGCCCGGAAGACGCTGGAGAACTAATTAATAAACGCAGTTTTTACAGAGAGAGGAGCTGCAGTGCAGTACTACCACTCCCCTTTTTCAGTGGGTTTGTTTTTCTCACCAAATGCAACAAATTTATGTATCAAACAGTTATATTTCAAAGTGCTTCAAAAAACCCTGTTCTGCTTTTTGTTCCACGGTGGAACTTTCTGAACAGCCCAGACAAACTAAGCTAGATAAATGAGGGTCCCTTTGCCATTTTAAACAACTGGGTGATATGCAATACACACCAACTGAGCTAAATCATCAGAAATGGAGCCTCGCTTTTGTTCTGTGTACAGGACGGCAGACAGAGAGTAATTCAGTAATCCCTTTTTTGCCTTTCTTTTGACTGCAACAATTATTTCTGAAGCTGGGTCGGTCTTGCTGCAGTGATGAAACGGATAAAAGCTCTTGACCTTCAGCGGGTTGGATATAAAATATTTTAAGATAGTATCTGCCTCTGATCTTAAACTTCTGAGATACCCTGCCATTTGAGCTACAGTGAACAATAACAAAAGATTATCTCCAAATGTATCAGAAAATACTCCAGAATTTTTTCAAAATTAAGTTGTTAAATAGTGATTTAAAAGAACAAAAATATACATATACAGTCCAATATTAGCACATCATGTCATCCTTTTTAATTTACAGGGACCATAGCACATACTGTAGCCTTATCATCCTGAGAGTTAAAGCAGGCCTCCCATATTCCACAGTCAGTAAATATAGCTTATCTGTTACAGCGTGATATTTGAGATGAACCTATCTGAGTGGTGTAAATAAAGCATTTCAGTCTATGTGTGCAAAATGAAAAATCACTGCTCGCACCTGGAGGCACACGATCGTTGCCTTTCTTAACACGTAGAGCTGGAGCTGAATCTTTCATGACCTGAGAGCTACTAGATTAAGTTGATATTTGAGAGACTGTCATTCACTAAGCAGACATGTGCGGGGAAAATGTCAAAGACAACATGTGCTTTACTCGTGACAAATGAGAAGAGACGGCCTCAGCGTGTCTATATCTGCACATGAAGGCTTCCTAACTGTGAATTATAAACACATAAAGATGGACAACAAGTATCCTATTCTTCTCTTCAGTGGATTTACTCAGCTTTTAAGGCTTGAAAAAAAAAAACAAAAAAAACAACTCAACATTTTTTCAACTGTATGAACACATTATTACTTCATATAGTAAATACTGTTAAAGAAATACTTCATGATCATCTGTGTATCAATTAGCCATGCTGTGTTACCTCTAATTTGTAAAGAAAGTGTCTAACCAAGGACTTCACACCTCCCCACCATGGACTGATCTCCCTGCTGGCCTCTGGCAAGAGGTCCCGCAGCACCATGCTCTCTTCAAATCCAGACTCAAATAGTTGGGATTTTTGTGTATGTGTGTGAAAATGCATCGGTTTGGGAAGTGTTGGGCATACGACTGGATAAATGAGGCTTGGATTAGACTGCATGAGTTGTGTGGGAATTTTTAAGCAAATATTTTGATATAGTTTTATTGTTAAATGTTAGGGATGTAACAATACCAGAAACTCATGATACGATATATATCACGATATTTATACAAGTGGAAAAAAAGAGAAAATGTATTGTTAAAAATAGCTATTTTATTCAAAAATAGTGCATGTACACTGTACAGCATGTTATTTTTAACTTGGAAGCGTATCATAAACAAATTAACACACAGTTGAACATGTGCTTTCATTTCCCCCCTATTACTGCTAGGCAGGCAGACATTAAAGTGCCATAACAAAGTCATGTCAATTAAAACTATAGTGACAGAATATGAAAATGGAAACATTCAGTATTTTTTAACCTACTCTGAACAAAAGTAGTGTAGTACTATTACTAGAAAGTCATCTGAATGACATCAAATTATGAGGATAGAGTAGTCTTAATATTCATCAAATATACAGAACTTAGAACAATCAGACCCTGCAACAACAACAAAATTAACAAATTAGAAATAAAGTAAACTCAATAACACACAATCCCTCACTCACAGATACACAGAGAGACACAGAGAGAGAGAGAAAGAGAGAGAGAGAGAGGTGGGTAGAGATGTGTATGAAAGAAAACCCAGCCCAGCCATTTCCCTGGAAGTCATAGAAAAACTCAAAAATACACATTCACTCAGTTTGTTCACACCAGGTTGACAATCTTGACATCAACACTTTCTCAGAACAGGAGATGAGGAGATGAAAGCTCTGCTTCTGCGCTTTCATGTGATATGCATGGCATTTCTGTGCGACCCTGCATTCGTGAGTAATCCATCCAAAAGTAATGTGTGTGCAAAGCTGTATGAAAGCTTTGTTATACATTATTTTAGTGTAACTTTATCATTTTTTTCTTGTCGGAAAGCCACGATTCCGCTGTTTCACGTGATATGTGTGGCTTCTCGCTATGATGCACGGTCACGGAGAAAATCCACAGATGATCCACATCTCCTTACTTTTATTCGCTGTTTCCTCCAGTCACGCACGGGTCAGAGTCGGAGGCTGAGCTGCACGAGTCTGCACGAGTCTGCTCTCACCTGCGCGCGCAGTTGCATGCAAAGGATTATGAGGAATGTAGTCACACAGTCATATTACCGGCTCTGTAGGAGAACGCAGCTATATAACTACCGTGGCATTCCCACGACAGTATCGAGAATTTATTTTATCGCGACACTGCGAAATTCAATATATTGTTACATGTCTATTAAATGTGGTTCCCGATCAATCATTTTCTGTGGAGGCATTCGAGACAGGTTTTCTTCAAGAATCCAACACAACAAATATTAATTATTACTCTCAAAAGAGCAGGACGACTATCCCTGAGGTTGTCAAGGATGGAGGAGATTCTGGAGAGCTCCACATCATCCACATCATCAACATCATCATCATAGCTCCTCCTTGATCCCACTGAAGACTGTATGGCAGATCAGCGGGAAAGTATATGTCAGAATGTCCTCTCTTCATTGTCATGCAACAAAGAAATTGAACGGAATTATATATGCACAGGGTGTATCTTACCCCATCAGAATGTTGGGGACTAATGTGGATAAAGATGTATTTGAGTTTATCTTACAGGGCTGCATCAGACACAAAACGTGGGGAAACATTGCTGTAAGTGTGTGGCAATGTAACACGAGTTACACCGGTGAAGGGCATGAAGATAAAAGTCAAACCTCTCTTCCTGACTGCAGTGGCAACATAAGTCAGAGAGCAGACCGTCACTACGCAGACTAACATGACAAACGACTGCAGGAAGCTCCTTCTAGGTCTCGTCTAAAAAACACAGGACTCTAAGTTACCTCTCCCAGGCCAGTCCAAGCACCCTCTCCTTTGAAGTGACTGATTAATACGTGACAGAAACAGGATATAATAGCCCCCGACTTCCTCCACCGCATGTGCTGACATGGAGAGACATGATATTCCTCAAGGCTTTGTCTGTTAAACTCCACTGTGATGATCGAGTATTTACTCAGAGGCTGAAAGTGTGAGTTCAATAACAGCCGACGGTAACCACTGAACTCTTCTCTCTTTGGGGTTTTTGTGTTTGCATAAGCACCCTGAAGCAGCCGATCACAGCCACGAACAGAACACAGTTTCCATTTTATATTCTCTGCTTGCCAGGAACAACAGTGCTATAATATAATGTCAGAATGATGGGTAACACGTAGTATGTTGTAAATTGGATTTACAGTGCAGTCGTGTGTGTGCATTTCCATGATAAGTGCTAACAGGCCCACCAGTCCAGGTACTTACATCTGGTCTGAGGCTGGCTGCGCGCTCGTACTGCCTCTCCGCTGCCTCATTAAGACTGGCCTGTCTGAAGAGAATGAAGAACAGGGAGAAAAGGAGAGTAAGAATGTGACATATCACACTTTATATTAATAACACTGCACTAACACAGATTACTGATGAGTGTGTTCTTTTATTACTGTCCAGCTTGCAAAATGAAACAGTGTTTAACTGCTGTAAAATGTCTCATTGGTGATTTTACTGGAATAGTCAGATTCATTACATGGGACAGTTCACCCCACAATCAAACACACAGTTTTTTCTCTTACCTGTAGCACTATTCATCAGTCTAGATAGTTTTGGTGTGAGTTGTAGAGTGTTGGAGATGTCTACCTTCTCTCCAATATAATGGAACTAGATGACACTCAGCTTGTGGTGCTCAAAGTGCCAAATTAATAGCTACATCTCCTTCCAAAAATCATGACCAGGAAACTCAAGATAATCCGCAAACCTTGTTGTGAGCAGTTTCATGTCTTTCTACCAAACTACACCTGCAAACTGCATCACCGTGCAAGGGGGAAGAGTGCATCTACTCATGGACGAGAGGCTCCTGCTCGTGACAGCGCAAGATGTAAACATTAATAGCACCCTCGTCAGAGCTATAATGTTAGCTGAGCATCATTCTCGGAACCCATTGGCTGTATTCAGCGTCTCACTTCCGGCAGACGGCAATACAGCCTCTGGGGGCAGACCCTGGTTTTTTGGTATTCCGGTTTGATTTGGGCGGAGGAGGTGAATTTCCGTTTCCGACGTCCGTTTATATATAAGTAAATATGCTGAACCATTGCGATGGATTCAGAGTTTGCAGTGACGCCAATTATGTTCCGCCTCATTAGTTCACTGCAAGGAGCGTTTAACCTGGCAACCACTGCAGCCGGCTCAAACGTGATTTATCAATATCACGCAGACTACAAACAGCCTACAACCGGAAACCAGGGCTCTTCCGCTCTTCTTCCGGAAGCAAGATCTCCGGGGTTTGCCTACAGACTACATTCACCGAATGTAGAGTCGGTACATAGAGACTAGCTAAGCATAAACTGTATAAAATGATGGATGTAGCCACTGAGACGTCAGCCATTGGTTTGTCGACTCGAGCTTGGTATTTTGGCCATTGCCACCTCCATTTTTGGCAAGAAGATGGAGATATCTCAAACACTAGCTGCTAGCTTGGGAAGCTTGTGGTGCTCAAAGTGCCAAAAATAATATATTTATATACATTTGAAAAACTTAATAGCAATGTCTGCTTTGTGAAATCACGACCTGGTTACTCAGGATAATCCACAGACCTTGTTGTGAGCAGTTTCATGTAGGAACGATCCTCCTTCTACGAACTACATCCACAAACCGTGTCACCACGCAGAAGGAAGCGTGCATCTACTCATGGATGATACGCTCATGTTCTCGACAGTATGGAAACATTAATGGCTTCATAGCTCATGAATGAGTGGAAGATTTCTCCCTCCTTAAAAATACCCTGAATTTCCAGAAACCAAAGTCAAGGATCACAAGGACCTTTGTGATCTTACTGGACGATCATGGAAATAAACGATCCATTATCCGTGATACAGCAGTGTAACCTTGCTTCTTCTTATTTTCTATTTTACAAGATGATGAGCATTTCACCTTTACCTATGATGTCACTGCCTGTTGTTTTTGGTTTGGGCTGCTTTTTTCTTATTTTTAAATATAAAAAAACATTAATGGAGTCTTCCTCTGCTGAGCTGTAACGTTAGCTCGCTCCGTCATGCCAGATGAGAAGGATCGTTATGTTTTCGCTTCCTTAGGATGAGCAGCTTATATATGTCCTGCTGGTGTTGCAATGTTGTTTTATATGGAAATATGTCACTCCTGGCTCTAGTGCTTTTAATATACCTCAGATTTTGCCTCAGGTTTTAGCACTTAATCACAAATTTCACGATTATTACATTTTTTTTTACTAAAGATCTATGTTAAAAATCGCGTATTGTTGATATGTTCAAAGTCCTTTATACTGTATGCCCTGTTTTCTTTTTCTTTTTTTGTGTCAGGTTTTCGCTTTTGTGTGTGTGTGTGTGTGTGTGTGTGTGTGTGTGTGTGTGATGTTTTTTGGTTTGCTTTTTGTGCTTTGTTGTATTTTAGGTAGCCTTGTGTAACGTCTTGGCCAAGGGACTACAGAGAAAAATGGCCTTTTTGCTAATTCTGGCATTTTTTTTATCGTGTATTTCCTAATTTGCACTGTCCCTTCTAAAATAAATTAAACAAAACTAAATTATATCAACATAGGGAGCAGGTCTTTGTCCATGGAGATCACCATGTTGCACTGCTGTGTTTCTACAGTAGCCCAGAACGGACACACCAAACACTAGCTCTAGATAGGGCCATCCACATTTTTGCATTACATGTAGTTAGCGGCCCTTTTCGTGACGAGCCAAACAGCATTGGAAAAACACTAATTTTTAACATGAAATTGCTTTATTCAGTGTCTCTACCGCTTTAAATCACCTGGTCCATTTGTTTTGTAGAGGAAAAGACCTCTGTGGATAATTCGGCTCTTGATAAAAACCACCTGAACGTCTGGATTTTAAGTTATCAGATATAACAGGTGAGCACACATTAGCAGGTGCTGGGCCAGCAACCCATCTGCGATGAGCCAACAGTGCTGGTGAAACACTGATTTGTAGTGTGACACTGCTTTATCAAGTGTTTTTACCAGTTTAAATCACAGGGTCCATTTGTTTAATGGAGGAGGAGACCTTTGCAGATAATTCAGCTCCTGGTAAAAACCACCTGAACAATGAACACTGAAGGAATTCTAACACTTGGCACACAGATGGCAGTAAATCCTGCACACTAGACCTTTAAAATTTAATAACAATAGTTTTACATTATTTTTTTTTAACTCTGCATTAAGATATCATGTGCTTTAGGGCAATTTGATTCTAATTTAATAACAATAGCTCATTCCAAAATTATGTTACTTGTTGTTCCTGCAGACAAAGGTGTTCCTCAAATTACTTATTAGTATTCAGAGACTCCTGAATTAACTAGGTGCTGTCACATAATAGCCACGGGATGGTACAGATCCTTCTTCAGCTGCAGCACTGTTAAAATATTTACATATATATATATAAACTTGTAAAATACTTTAGTTTCTAATAGCGTCATTAGGGAACAATGTTCTGTGCAGGTGATTCATTTCTTAGCTGTGTAATAACTGTGATAATGCAGCTCACATTTTGCATTTGGACCTTGATTTATTAGGACTCACTTTAAAATGATGTCTGGCTCCCTGTCTATTATGGATTTCTTATTATTTAACAGAGTACGATGAGGAGAGATGGATGTTTTTATAATGCCAGAAACACAACCGGTCTTCCTCTGCATGTTACAGCTGGGTTCATAAAATGGCAACACTTAATCTGCTCCATACGTACAATTTCATCCAAGGGGTACACGAACCAGACTTTGCTGTGCCAAAGTTAATAAAGTCAAGGAAACCGTCCTCTCCCGACATGGCAATTAATATTTATAAGACTATGACTTAAGTTAAATATGTAACACTTTATCAGGGTTCAATGGAGTTCATAGCTGACTATCGTATAGTCATCATCTTATGGCGTGCTTCCTCGGTCTTTGTTTAGTTTGGTCAAGTGTTGGAGAGTCAATAAAGATTCAGGAAGTCAGGATTTAAAGGAGCAGTGTGTACGACTGAAGGCTCATTTATATTCCCTTTATACGTCTGTTTCAAACGTCACTGCCCTCATACTTCTATGCGTCCTATATGATGGCACAGACACAGCTAATAGATGGCACTAGAGGGCGGAGTCAAAAGTTTCTCACAACAACAAATGAGGCAACAGTGGAGGAGGGCGTAATATTGTAGCTTTAAACGAAGGCAGAGTTATTGACGCTTGGTGGTCTTTGCAGACGACATGGACGGAGACTTCTTTTCACTACATTACAGATTTGTTTCATTCCGCCATTTTTTGAATTTCTTTATCGTCTCCTACAGTCGTATCTCGCTTGAACTACTGCCTCTACGATCTCTGGTGGTACTGCTACGTTTCATCTGTGCAGATTATGGACAGAGGGCTCCGTCTGCCTCCATCTCTGTATCTAACGTCGAGCATAAATTAGCCCTTAGGAGGATTTGGTTGCATCTAGCAGTGGGGATTGCAGATTCTCATAGAACGGTTCGTATGATACCCTACAAATTAGCGCCCCATGAAGTTACTTCATGAACATTAACTTACGGAGGTTAGGTTTAGGCAAATAAAGCTATTGCGGTTAAGTTTAGGAAAAGAAACATGGTGAGGATGTAGCTTAAAATGACTCAAAGTTCACTCAAGTTCACTTCTGAACACGCAACTCCAGGGGACAGTCCTGGATTAAAGTCAAGTTTTTTGTCACCCATCCACCACCCCAACCCCGAGGCATCCTTATAAGACCGCTCGGAGCTGTTCCTTGTTTACTCCCATCAACGCATTTGTCACGTAATCGCAGCCTACCAAATTACAGGGGATATGTACAAATTTGGATGCATCAATTTTCGTAGGAAAACATACAGTTTGTGAGAACAGCCTGCACATTGCAACCAGATGAAACTTGTTCAGGTAAGATTTCCTTCAGTGTTCATTGTTTTTAGCAGGAGCTGAATTATCCACAGAGGTCTCTCCCAAACAAACAGACCTGGTGAATTAAACCGGTAAAAACATGGTACAAATCAGTGTTTTTCCGACACTGCTTTGTCACTTAGGGGCTGCTAACCACAGTAGCCAATGCGAAAACATGAATGAGCCTATCTAGCGCCAGTGTTTGGTTTGTCAATTCTGAGCTACAGTAGAAACATACAGGTGCAGCCAGTGGCGTAAGGTAGCTACCACGGGCCCCAGTGCACACTAGTTGCTAGTTTTAAGGCGCACACACATCACTGGGAGCTTTGCTACTTTTTCCTCCTGTTTGTTTCTTTCTTGTACGGCCCAATTTGATCTCAGATGGGCCGGATCAATAAAATCATCGCACAATAACATATTAGTACCATCAGCTCCAATGTTTTCCCTTTTTTTGTGTTAAGAATTACAGGTACATTCTGTAGACGTTCATCCTTTTACAAAACAGATGAACAGCATGAGATGTCTAAAGAAAAATAAATGCAATTTCAACAGTATGTCTCAGTTTGTCCACATTCAGTCAGTTTACTTATCACTGTCATTGCATGTGCATTTATCCGCACATTTCCTGACACAGATTCTTTTGAACTGAAGCTGCTGATTGACAATATTTTGCACAATGTTCAATATCTTTAAACAGTAAGTATTGTTATATCATAGAATTATTCTGGTCAGGGTGGAAAAGCCTCTGAAGCAGAATTGTACATGAAGACAGCAACGAATTGTATAACTTGCTCCTGAAACCTGGCACCTTTTAGTCCAGTCATCTAGTAGGCCAGATTGGACCCTTTGGCGGTAGAGCTTAGATCAGGCCCAAAAAAATCCAGCCAGAAGGTAGACATTGAAGGCTGACTCTCGTCTTTCTTTCCATGGCAAGCCTTCGTCATGTGCCTCATAAGTGTCAAGGTCCCCGTCTTTTTGCTGTCATATACCAGCATCGCGCTGCACTTGGTACGTCCGACGAAGCCGACACACACGTTGTCGCCGTCGACAACTGACATGTGCGCGGCCAGTTGCACCATCAAGGGGGTGCCGTTGCCCCACCCCCCCAGGTGTGATAAGTAGTTGGTTCCATGGCTGAGGTCTATTATGAGGAGCCCGACCCGTCCAAGCCTGAGGATAGTGGGTTCGGGCTCGGGCAGAGAATCTAAGCTCTATTTGGCGGGCTGGTTCTGGCCCACGGGCTGTATGTTTGACAGCCCTGCTCTTGTCCTTTCCTTTTGCTGCTTTTATGTTTGAAAGGCGTGACTGCTCACTGGACTTGCAGTCTTCACAGATTTTTCAATTAAATTAGTTACTTTATCGTATCGTCTATCGTCTCAATCAAATAGAGACTTGATATTAGGCAACATCAATGTACATACATACATTTTTGAGAGTAAATAGCCTCTCGCAAATGGCACCATTTTTAATCTAATGTGAGTTCTTCTTTGAACACAGATGTAATTCAAGGTGGTACTCTGAATTATTGGCATGGGAATCACCCCATGGGCTCCACTGTGACTGAACTGCTTGCACTGTCTATATTTACATCCCTGGGTGCAGCATTGCTGATGGTTTAACTTCAAACTAACCGCTTTATTGGAGGAATCACATCTCTGATAACCATCACAATAATTGAATCATAAGAGCAGTTTGCTGGAAGGAAATGTAGACCTAAGCTTGTAGAGGAAGCCCATCCATCAAACTGTATTATCAGGTTATTATTATAATCCTGGTTATGTTTGGTCAGTATCTGGAGCTCACCTTTATGATCAGTGGAGCTTGTTTAAATCCAGCTAACGACAGCTGTATGTCACATCCGTTCAACCCTAATCCTAATCGATTCGGATTTATGTCCAGGCCAGTCTAAGATGACAATAACCAGTTAGACCAGAATACGGCAGAATGATCTGTCATTCAGATTTACTCTTTCGTCTCCAAAAGCAAACCTCAGCCAAACCCTGAGACTTTCAACTTTTTTTTACAAACCCTCCGTGGTGTTCACTTAGATGGATGCTCGAGAGCAGTAATGACTTTCCCAGATATGTAGAGCAAAAAGGAATGAAGGCATATCGCTCCAATATTTCCCTGGGTTGCTGGGAATAGAATTTGCCGTCCCTTTTGACACGTTTTAAGACTTATACGCTGTCTGTGCACGTGCTTGCCAAACTTTGAGGGGAAAATTCTCCAATGGCTTCTTTACAAGTCTTGGACCGAAACATCACCATGATGGACTGAAACTGTACTGCTGTTTATATATGTAATACATAATAGCTTTTATGGCAGCCATTTCCATAGAGAGGACATTTACTATTCTATAACACTGGTGTAATTTATATTTCGAAGATGGTTATTAAATGGCAGTGGTAAAGAATAAACCCACAAATGGCGAAGCGGCACAGCAGCAGCAAACTCTGTAAAAACAGGAGTTCGAAAACCTCAACATCTCTTGACGTATACAATAGCTCAATTTTCTGTACTGTGTGCTTTTTTTTTCAGGACGGAGGGAAACTCCACATGTGAGCAGTGTTGTTGTTGTGTGTCAGCAGTTTAGCCAACCTGAGCATGTGAGCAGCGCTGAAGACCACATCAAACTCTGAGCTGTCCAGCTCCGCAGCTCTCTCAGCCATCTCCGCCGCCTCGCCAAGACGAGACTGCTCCAGCAGAAACTGACCTGGAAGAGAGGGAAACACAGCGGAGGTGCACTTATTTTTAGGGTTAGCAGAAGTTATGTTAGTACTCTTTATTCTTGTGGTATGGCTTTAGGGAATGTTGGTCATGTTGGTCTATTGGTTCATTGGTCGGTTCTCTACTTTGGTCCAAACTGAAAAATCTCAACAACTGTTGGATGGATTAAGATGAATTCTAGCACAGATATTGACGTTCCCCAGAAAATGAACCCCGATGACTTTTGCGACCCCTTAATTTTTCCTATAGGGCCAACAAGTGGTTGATGTTTTTGGCTGTTAGTGAAATATCTTGACAACTATCCCATGGATTGCCTTGAAATTTTGCACAGATATCCAGGGTGACAAGACTACATAAAAATAATGAATGCAGCCACTGTGACGTCGCCCACTGGTTTGTGGGCTCCTGTTTAGACACCTCAGGTTTGACATTTTGACCACTGGGCCCAGAAGTGACCATATCAAGACAAAAGTGTGGAGCTAACCCCAATGCTATCTGCTAGCTTGCTTAGCATGGTGCTTTTACATTCATTCATTTCATTCATTCATTTTCCGTAACCGCTTATCCTGTCAGGGGTCGCGGGGGGGCTGGAGCCTATCCCAGCTGACAATGGATGAGAGGCAGGGTACACCCTGGACAGGTCACCAGACTATCACAGGGCTGACACATAGAGACAGACAACCATTCACACTCACATTCACACCTACGGACAATTTAGAGTCACCAATTAACCTGCATGTCTTTAGACTGTGGGAGGAAGCAGGAGTACCTGGAGAAAACCCACATTGATACGAGGAGAACGTGCAAACTCCCCACCCCAGGGTACGAACCTCCCAACTGGGATCCCTCTGGCTGTGAGGCAACAATCCTAATCATTGCACTGCCGTGCCGCCAACTCTCATGCTAGCTGTTAGCTTGGTTAGCACGGTGCATTTACAGTCTATGGTTAACTGCGATAATGCTACAGCTAATTTTTGCTAGCGAAAAACAGCCTTACAACCACTGAACAACCCTGGAGATTGCCACGTAATGAATTCGATGGTCTTGTTACCTTTTCTCTCAGCATCTAGCGCAGGTCAGAGTTTAAACTTTACACTTTTCTTTCATTCGCCTCTGCAGCAGCTGCTCCTCTTATCCACTGATCTGACCTGATCAGCTCTGATCGGATAAACCGATCACTTATCCAGCCCACAAACACAAAACTCCACAAACTGCTCCTGAGGAATAAGGAGGTAGGTAAGAAAAAAAACCTTGAGGGACACTGACCTGCCCCTTCTGTTGTCAGCTACAGCCACATATAGATTCTGATTCTGTGGGAAACACTGGTCTCTAAAGCTAATTTCAACGTTCATGACAACTGTATGAGGGGTTGAATTTTTATATGACTCACCCTTTTAAATTTCTATTAAGGCTTAACGTTGGGCATAATTAAGAGCTTCTCCCCGTGCTGTGACCTTGTAGTGGTGGAGAGGCTTGCGTGCTTCTATGATCCTGAGAGCTATGCTGGAGGGAGCCTATGGCTCCTGGCAGGTTCAACCATACCAGACTGGTCTTGGGTGAGGAGTGAGACGAAAGGCAGCACCTGGTCCTCCAGGTTGGGGGTTAAAAAAAAACCTACTGTTACGGAAACTACAATGAGCAATCCTATTGAAATCAGGCCCAAAGTAGACCCCGGCCACCACTTCTGATGAAATCCGAAAGGAAGTCAGGAGTGCGAAAGAGGGTCTACTAGGGCCTAAAACCAAGATCCGCATTGGAGCATGGAACGTCCGAATAATTAAGAGCGGTCCACTTTGACCGAGGTGTCGCTACAGTCTATGAGTCAGATCCACCCCTCGCTTCTCTACTCCTCCACCGTCTCGTCCAAATATGGTCACTTCTGGCTCCAAAAACCCAAGATGGCGACCGCCAAAATGCCAAACTCAAGGCTTCAGAATGGGAGTCCACAAACCAGTCTGTGACGTCATGGAAGCTACGTCCATTATTTTGTACAGTCTATGCGTTTTACAGGTATTCATGTTTCCTACATGATCACTGTTTATGACTTTGTTCCCCTGACTTTTCCTCTTGGGCTGCCAAGAGGAAAAGAGGTGGGAGGTGAAAACGTTTGGTTTTAATTGAATATGTGTTGAACATCTGTTGAATATCTGTACAAAATTTCATGGCAGTCCATCCATGTCCACTCCAGATGAACCATAATATCTTGGGGATCCCCTGACTTCTCATTGAGCGCCATCATCAGATCAAAATGTAATAATCAGCACATGTCAGCATGCCAACATGCTGAATATGGCACACAGTTTAGGTGCTAAAAATCAACATTACACGTGATATTAAGAGGAAAGGAGGAAGAGTTGGGTGAGGAGACAAAGGAAGACGAATGGAGGCAGTGCCACAGGAAACACAACACGGCGGCAGAGACAGCGAGAGGAAAGTGAGCTGGTGAGAGGATTGTTGTTTTGCTCGGCGACATTTGAGAACACAGAGAGTCAGAGGTATTTCATGTGTTTTCCTGTGGGAGTCTGGCCACCTGGTGCGGCACCCACAAGTGCCTGCATCAGCGGCTATAAGCTTGGCCGCAGATGTTACTGAATATAGGAAGAGGGGAATGCGGAGAGGCTCCACTGAAGCGTTGGCTTTACTTGTACTGAGCCGCATTCAAAAATCGAGCCATTAGACACCAAAGCAGACTGTTTGGACGCAGGTCATAAGAGGGACAGTCCATGTTAAAATGAGTTACTGGGAACAATGGCAGGAAAGGGGGGCCTTGTCTTAGCTATCACCTTCTGTGTCCTCGCTTCCTTGCACTCTCTCATATGTGTGTTTCTGTGTGTACATCCGTTGTGTTATAGCATGGACAGATACCATCACTCCCTGCACACTCACACCTGGAGCTCATCCAGTGAGCCCAGGAGAGCCAAAGCAGCCAGATTTGCGATAAAGGAGGGGGACAGGCCCAAATAAACATCACCTATAGCAAGATGCTACAAGATAACATTGAAAAAAGAAAACATCCAGATAGGCAGAGAGGGAGAAAGAGAGTGTAAGGGGAAACAGCATGGTCCAAAGACAGCAACGCAACCCCTCGCCGGGGACCAAACTAAACCTGAACCCTGAGATATCCAGCGCTGAGAAAGCACCAAGAGGAACGGAGCGAGATAAGGAAGAGGAGAAAGGGACGAGGCACAATGGTGCTTTCAGGACAGATTTCATTTCCTACGAATATCCTGATGATAGCGACACGGCGCAGCGGGGAACCTGTTTCTCCAAACTGATATGAAACTGCATTAACAGCAGCACAGGCGGAAAGTGGTATCATGTTTTACTCTCGGTTACCAATGGTAAACAGTGTACTCTGATCCCGTCTCCTCACCCAGATAAACACAGCATACATGCTTGTTTGTATGTGTGTTTGCACCATCTGCAACACCTCGAACCGCTCCAACAGCACTGACACCACACAGAACATTTACATAAATCTGTTAAAGTGGTGCAGGGTTTGCTAAAGCACTGGTATTTTGGGGGGAAATGGTAAAAGCAGCAAGATGTGTGACACTTCCCAATGATTACCAAAACTCCTATCAGGTTACGTAAGCTATGAGCCTGGATCCAGGGTGTGTTTAATGACTCTAGGTGCGAGGGTGACACTACGAAGTATACATCTTGGATAAAAGAGTCTAAAGACCCCTGTCTAATAATCATCCTGAGTGCGGCTTACTGCGGCAAAGCCTCGTCATTACAGCAAAGCCTACAAGGGCTGTGCAGCAGAGGTTTGGATTATGGGCAATCAGGAATGCAACAGTTGGAAGAAAAGGACTTTAAATTATATTCTGTGTAGTTCTTTAAACCACAGAGAGGCATTTCTGAGGACGGAGGAATTCATGTTTTTATGATACTAATGTTTCAAACAGGCTTGGCTGAAAATGTTTGCTGTTTCTAGAAGGGAAACCTTTGATTTTCTTACCATAGTGCATGTAGCAGTTTCCTTTAGTCGGATCGAGCTGGATAGCTCTCAGATAGTACTTCTCTGCTTCTGTCTTCTGACCCTAAAAGAAAAGAAAAGGAAATCATGTATTTTGCCAGATTTTTAGGTTTTGTTTTGTTATACATGTAATGTTTTTCAGGGCTGCCAAATGAACATCAAAAATTAGTCAACGGAGATTCTTCAAGTCCAGCAGTCTTTTTTTTTTTTTGGTCAGTCAGTGTGCAGTTTACTTAGGAGATGTTTTCGTCCTCAGAGTGAGTGCACCACATTTTCACACTGCTCTTCGGTGCAGGCAGCTGCAGACACACACCCAGGGAGAGTCTGAGTTTGCTTTGCCTGGTCAGGCTCAGAGATATCGTTATCGTTTTCCCTCTGCTTGGAAGTGGTGAATTTACAGCCCAAAGAGACTGATATTTAGTGTTGGCAAAAATTATCACTGCACATTTCCGTCGTATTTCTGTCGTATGCGTAGTTAGCAGAGTGCTAACAGAGTGCTTGTTTATATACCATGAACGCCCCATCGAGCTCTGCTTAAACTCTCAAACTCTATGTTAAAAAAGTTACAAATAGTCGAACATTGGTAGTGAACACCCAAATAAGATTCGATTGACATAATTCTGAGTCGGGTCCAGCCCTAAATATTTGCTTTATTTATTTAGTGTATTTAGTTTGACTTTGACTTCAAACCATTTTTGTTAACCGCTAATATTTACTATAAACATACCAGACCTGTAAGCCTGAGCAGGACTTTACTATGTGGTTTAACACACATATCCCATTGACTGATTTGTTATAAACTGTAGGGGAAAAAAATATATTTATTTTTTTCCCCTACAGTTTATAACAAATCAGTATATATCCTTTATTTAACCAGATAAAAGCCTCCTTGAGATTAAAAATCTCTTCTTCAAAAGCAACCTGGCCAAGAGAGCAGCATATGTTACAACAAGGCAAACAGACATATACAACTGTCAAACACAACAAATCAATAAAAACCACAGGATGCAATTAAATACAATTACTAAAATGAATCAGCAACAATCACATTGACTAAAAGAGCTAATTTCCCGTTCCATTAAAATCGACTTAAATTCCCCCACAGTGATCAACTCTGCCAATTTCAGATCCTTCTGTAAATCACTCCAGGACGAAGGAGCAGCATATTTAAAAGCTTCTTTGCCGAGTTCTGTTCTCACCCTTAGAACCAGCATTTGTAGAATATTATGAAAGTGAAGGCCAAACTGATTTTGGTTTCTGCACATGTATGTAGACAGATAGGAAGGAACCAGGCCAAGAATAGATTTATATATAAAAACAGTGGTGTATGTGATTGCTACAACCAGTAATAAAGTGCAAAGCAGAAAATAAACTAAAACTAAAATCCATCCATTCATTTTCATCCCCTTATCGCTAGGGGGTGCAACTACATCACAGCAGGTGTGTTGCTCAGGACCAAGGGAAGCACAGTGATGAGTGTGAAGGTGTTTGGATGAGCTGTTCTCCAGAAAACTGCAAAGGGCGCGTTCACGTTTAGGCTAGTGTCCCAAAACAGAATTGAGGTAGTGGAAGTGGTTTCCAACACTTAAAACCCTCCCTAGATTCAAAGGGAGCCCCAACCCACACTTTCAGCGAAGTGGAAAATGAAATTTCCCAGAACACCTTGCAAAGTCAGCAACTTCGGCAAGTTGTGGAAGAGAATTTGTTACTGTTGGACTAGCGTAAACTCATCGGCAACTCGGTTGAACACAGCTTCAAAATATTCAAACAAATCGACTTACCCGACGTCGTAGAAGCCTCCTGTTTTCAGCATTTCTTCTCCGTTGATTCATCAGACAGAGAAGAATAAACATAGCACACACCACAACACAAGCGCTGGAGCCGGCATTTTCATTGCGTCGCTACTACGCGTGACGTATGCCTGCACGCCGGCCACGCCGATTTGCATGAAGTGGTGTCCCATTTCTTAGAGAAAGATCTCTACCCTAATATTTCTCACTTCCCTCATCAAGGGTTATCTCGCAAACGAGGGCACTCAATACCAAGTGGAAGATTTAAGGACTAGAAATGGGACAGGCCCTAAGCAATGGGCCTGTTCTCAACAGGTTTTGAACAGACACTGCACCAGTACAGTATAAAACATGCATGAACATCTTGTGCTCCAAATCTGTCATCTCCAAAAATCTCTTTTATTTTACTGTATCTGCCGTGAGTCATTTTAATGCACTGACATGCATCAGTTGAACGCCGCTGTTAAGTTTCAGCAGGAGACTGATGCTCATAAAGAATACAGTACGCCACCTCCTGTGCCTAGAAAAACCTCCAAGGTGTGTGTGAGTGTGCGTACCTGCAACCAAACTGAGAAACATACCGCCTCTGTATGCATGAGCCTCAGTTTCTCCACCTCTTTTGTTTCATGCTTCAGCACTGATTGCTTCCATATTGCCAATGGACTTGCCATGCAACAAGAAATGAGAGGACTGGGCCTATTAGGTCTGCTTCATTAGCTTTCTCCCATGCCCGCAATCGCTCTAAATGACTGAGCGGATATCGGGCCTCGATGGCTTATTCCACATTTTCTTTGGCACTTTTCTCTTTACATTCAATTAACCCTTTTCCGCGGACATCCATCAGAACTGGAAGCAGATTGGTTCAGTCCAATTCGGTTGGTGGAAGTCGTCATTTAGGAGATTTATGAAAGGCTTCAGGTCAGTCTTAATTCTGGTTTTTAACGACTATCAAAAGGCAGTTTTGTATTCGGCTCTTTTTTAACTGATTTATAGCTGTTTCATGTGTTTTTGGATTGTTGAGCATCCGTGCTGAACGTATCTTAATACACTGCTGAGTTCAAATTCATAAATCATCTCAGTGTTGACTGACCACAGCTTTCCCAAACGCACACCACACCCCTCTGACTCCAGCAGGAGATCTCTGACAGACAGTGGGGCTCTACGGTTACACTCGGCTCGTTCGTAATCACTTTGACCTTGGGAAGAATGAGGCAAATTAGTGGCTTTAGGAGGTGCACTTGTTATTTGCGCCGGGATGTGGATGGGTACAAGACTATCAGGTTCCAGCTTTATTATTGAGTGGATTTAAGAAGGGGGGGATGACCACTTTGAAAGTTAATGTGCAGTAGTACTCAAGAAAAACAGCACCACAGCACACATTGGGGTGAACCACAGTACAAGACTCCAGTTTGACCTTTCCTCCCCGTGTCTGTATTGTCAATTGACTCCGGCAGGACAGCCAAAAATGTAGCTGATGGAGTGATTCAATAAGGAAGGAGAGTAATTGCATTATAAGCCTGTCCACTGGCCCATTGTCCAGGGTCCATCCAATCTCCTGTTCCTTAAGCCCTGTAGTAGTGGAGGGGGGCCTGTCTGAGAGTGAAGGCCCTGCGCTGAGCCCGAGGGAGCGCAGCAGATGTCCAGCCACACTGGGCGACTCTAATCTGAACCTGAGCTTTACCGTACCTGTGTGTGTGTGTGCTACGTATATCTTCAAATCTTTCGACAAAGAGAGGAAATGATCAGAACCGAGGTTTAAAGCCTCAGAGGGTTGCAGCTGCGAGTGTGTAAGACACTGCAGGTTGGTTTCCTCAGCACCCAAGGCCGTGGAAGGGAGGAGGTCAAACATGTCTGGAGGGGCTGCAGAAGGCACGCAGTTCAACTCTCACATCTAAACTTGACTCAGCTGTGAACACATCTGTTGTCACATGAATGTGTTTTTGTTTTGATGGGATGGGAGAGGTGGCAGGAGGATGGAAGCGGGAGTTTTTCCTGCAGAAACAAACAAACCAGCTGCCTTAAAAAATGTTGGCACTGTATGTTAGGCAAACCAGTGATACGTTTGTATGTTATGATGTAGCAAATTGAAACTTGTTAATGTGTTGTAGGCTTAGGTAAAAACTCCTGGGCATAATCCTGCATGGAAATGAAGCAATGTCTGGTAAATAACAACCACTTTTTGTGGCACTATCCTGGCAAAAAAACATAGTGAAACTGCTTTTGTCAGAGTATCCTGGCAGGAAACACGGTTGGGTCTCTCTAAAAACAACCACATCTCATTGCACTATCCCAGCAGTAAATACAGTGACCTCTCGGTAAAAAAACTGCTTTTCATCAGACTATCACAACAGGAACCGCAGTTATCTCTCACAGTCAAAAACAACTCCTTTTTCGTCAGACTATTTTTGCAGGAAATGGAGCAATGAACGACCTCTTTTTGTTGCAGCAGAGTTTTTCAGCAGAGTATTCCGGCAGGAAATCCAGGTATGCCTCGGTAATGCCAACTGCTTTTTGTCACACTATCACAACAGAAAAAGCAGGTATGTCTCAGTACCAGAGTCCCCTTTTTGTGTTCTGTCAGGAAATGCAGCTGGGTCTCACTAAAAACAACCACTTTTTGTTGCACCATTCCTGCAGTAAATGCAGTGACCTCTCGGTAAAAAACCCCGACAGGAAACGCAGTTATGGTTCAGTAATAAAACAACCGATTTTTTTCTATCATGACAGGAAACGCAGTTATTGATAATAATATGGAGCAATATCTGGGTAAAAAAAAAAAACAACAAAAACAACTGCTTTTTGTTGCACTATTACAGCAGGAAATGCAGCAATGTCTCTGGAAAAAAACAGCTACTTTTTGTCAGACTATCCTGGCTGGAAACACAGTTAGGTCTCGCTAACAACAACCGTTTTTTGTTGCACTATCCCAACAGTAAATACAGCAACATTTCGATAAAAACAACAACTGCATTTTGTCATACTATCTGGGCAGGAAATGCAGTTATGGTACAGTAATATAATAACCAGTTTTTGTCCCACTATCATGACAGGAAGTGTAGTTATGTCCTGGTTGAAAACAGGCGCTTTTCATCAGACTATTTCAGCGCAGTTACGTCTTGGTAAAACAAATGCTGTTTTTATCACAAGAGGAAATGCAGTTACGTCTTGGTAAAAAACAACAGCTTTTCGTCAGACTGCCCCGCCAGGAAATGCAGTTGGGTCTCGCCAAAATCAACCACTTTTTCCACTATAACAGGAAATGCAGCATGGTAAAAACAAGCGCTTTTCACTGCACTTTTAAGACAGGAAATGTAGCCATGTCTCGACTGAAAATAACTGCTTTTGTCACGCTATTCTGGCAGGAAACGCAGGTATGTCTCAGTAAAAACAAGCACTTTTTGTCGCACTATCTCGGCTGAAAACGCAGCAATGGTTCAATACAAACTGCTGCTTTCTGTCACACTATCACAACAGGAAATGCAGTAATGTCTCTGTAAAACCCAACCACTTATCGTCAGACTATCCAGGTTGTAAATGCAGCGACCTCTTGGTCAAAAACAACTGCTTTTGTCTGTGTAAAAAAAAACACACCTCTTTTCACGGCACTATCTCCAGTGGAAGGACTGTGACAGGTTGCTAAAAAACACCCACGTCAGGTGCCTAAAAAGTTGCTGAACAGTGACAAGTTGCAAAAACATTACTGGTCTGACAAAGTCGGCTCATTTTCTATGTCACTTTAGAGACCTTGATATGCTTCGTACTAAATATGCAAATGTAACTTTTTTTTGCAGAAACGTAACAATGCCAACTTTTTGTTCTTGTGACTCGGCTGAAACAAAACATCAGAAGGACAAGACAACATTTGGGAGAAGTTGGGTAAACTTGTGTGCCCTTGATATCTTCTAACACCCATAGACACAGTGAGAGACAGAAAGCAGACAGATAACCTGGAACTCATCCAATCACAGAGGGAGATCTTTCATCCACACCAGACAATCTCCCGACGCCTGTGACCTTCAGATGTCAGTCGTGAATTTATGCAGCTACTATTTGGCAGATTTTTAAGCTATCTGGCATCAGTCCTGGATCAGGGGCGATCCAAGGCCACCCAAAAAGTATTTACGGTTTCTATCATTTCTTCTTTCACACTGTGTGATCCTCTTTTCATCCAAGTGGCAGCGCTGGAGGTCAAACACTGTATTCATGAATGCATCACAATCCCTGTAGCTCACTTCTGATCAGGGGAAGAAGAGTTTGTTTAGCATGCACCTTCCACAGTCAGGTGCTCACACCTCATAACAATTATCACAGTTCTCCAGGCTCTGCAGAGGAATCGATACGATGGGTTCGCCTTGCTCCCATAAGTCACTCAATATGCATTATTCATCGCTCTGCTCTGCCACTTCAGGTCCCGTTTAATTACACTCTGCCAGGTAGTTAACCACTGCAATCGTTACTAAGATAATGCCCCGGCTCGCCTTGTGATTCTCCCTGTGTGTGTGTCAGTAATGGGACTTACGATGATGGACAGGAGTTTGCCATAAGTGAGGTGGGCAGGGATATGGTCAGGCTTGGCCCTGAGGGACTCTCTGTACCAGTGGCCTGCTTCCTCCAGCCTGTTCAGCCTCATGTAGGCCTCTCCTGGAACACAGCACACAGCAGCAGTCACAATTAGTATTAGAAGTGTGACATGAGAAGTGTATGAAGCAGGAATCCTCTTCCTTTTTGGCATATGCATATATAGAGGTTATAAATAAAGAATATCAGCAATAAGCTAAAATTTCATTTTAATAGAATAAAGTACAAGGGCTCACTTGGCTACATTTCTTACAGATTAAATAATGACATATTCTTGATTACTTTTATTGTTGGCACGCTAGTTCATTTGGCGAGGACGTCCATTTTTTAATTCAAAACTGATTTATCGACAAAACTTTTGGCAGGGACACAGAGTCCATAACAACTCATGCTTTAAAGGGGTAGTTCACCCCAAAACCAAAAGTATTTATTGTTCCCCTTCCCTGTAGTGCTATTTATCAGTCTAGATTGTTTTGGTGCAAGTCGCTGAGAGTTGGAGAGATCAGCCGGAGACATCTGCCTTCTATTCAATATAATGGAACTAGATGGCACTCAGCTTGTGGTGCTCAAAGTTGCCAAAAAATTGCAATGTCTCTTTCCAGAACTCATGACCCTGTTACATAAGATATTCCACAGTCCTTGTTGTGAGCAGTTTCATGTCTTTCTACCAAGTTACACTGCATCACCGTGCAGGAGGAAGAGTGCATCTACTCACGGACGAGAGGCTCATGCTTGTGACAGCGCAAGATGCAAACATTAATAGCACCCTCGTCAGAGCTGTAACGTTAGCTAGCCATAATCTGTGTAAAATAATAGACGTAGACAACAAGACCAGTCAACTGGTTTGTCGACTCATGTTTTGAAGCCTTGAGTGTGGTATTTTGGTTGTTCTTATTATTACAACGTCTTAGGGTTGCTGTCAAACTGCGCCTACTTCGGGCGACAAAATTGTTTTTGTAAGTAAATTATTCATTATTTTGCCTTCAGACTGCATCTCTCTCTTTTTTGTCATGGCTTTAGAGCCAGGTCATGACACTCACTCAGCGGTGCAAGAAGACAGAAAGAAGAAAGAAAATAATTCAAGGCTCACAACAAGGACTGTGGATTATGGCTAGGTAATGTTACAGCTCTGACGAGGGTAGTGTTGTCACGGTACCAAATTTGGGACCTACAGTACAATACCAGTGAAAGTATCACGATTCTGAGTAGTGTCACGATACCACGGCAAAAATGAGGCAGATGTGCCTTTTGTCATTTATAAAAAGATAAATCACTTTTCTATAATACATCAATGATATTTCAATGGAATAAATTACTTATTGACTTATTCATACTTCAAAAACAGCATCAATAAGTGATTAACATAGGGGGGATCAAAATAAAATAAATAAATGAAATAAAAATCAACCAGCCACCCTCCTCCCCTGACAAGTAAAGAACAGTCCCTAAAGTGTGGTGAGGTTTGTGGACCGTTACCTGCCACAAAGAGAGAAATGTGAAATGCTCGTTTCCCCTCTGACACGTCACATACTGTTTGCCGCTATGGCTTGACTGTTCAGGTACATTTGGGCAGTCATGACACCAACAAAGAGGAAATTATTGGACCTGGAGCCGGGCTTCTCGGCCACCGGTAAGCCGTTATCTTGCGCCACGGAGCACTATGGCCGCCGTATTTGACAGAAATACGTATTCCTGTCTGTGTCTGTGACCCCCCTTCAACCCACAACCGGCAGGATTCGCCTTTCGTTTCTGCTGCTGGTTGAAATCTGTACTCACACAGCGTGCTGAATGATTTATTTTGCCCACACAAAACTATTTTTAGTCGCAAATGAGAGTAAAATGCTCGTACCGTAGAGCTCTGTGGAAAACAAATCACTGTAGCATATATAAACAAATCTAGCCTACAAGTAAAACTAAATAAATAATAACTTTCACTGCTTAAAGATACTCAGTAGCTCAACTAATACCTGACATGTCACTGGACATTCATGTTACATGTTATTGGACGGCGCATGGACACTAACCCTCTTGTGATTGGACTTTGAACTTATCCCACAGTCGTGGTTCCGCGAGGTACTGTAGTACTACGGTACTCTAACATTATGGTATCATATGTACCGTGGTGTTTTAGTACCGTGGTCTACCGTTAGTACCAGTATACCCTGCAACACTAGACGAGGGTGCTATTCATGTTTGCATCTTGCGCTGTCACAAGCACGAGCCTCTCGTCCGTGAGTAGATGCACTCTTCCTCCTGCACGGTGATGCAGTGTAGTTTGGTAGAAAGACATGAAACTGCTCACAACAAGGTCTGTGGAATATCTTATGTAACCTGGTCATGAGTTCTGGAAAGAGACAATTTTTTGGCACTTTGAGCACCACAAGCTGCGTGCCATCTAGTTCCATTATATTGGATATAAGGCAGACATCTCTATGGGAGATATCGCCAACCATCAGCAAATCAAACCAAAGCAAACTAGACTGATGAATAGCACTACAGGTAAGAGGAAAAATATGTGTTCTTGATTTTGGGGTGAAGTGTCCCTTTAAGGCTGGAGCAGATTCTTGCTGTGTACACACGGGGGCGACGTGCTTAAGAGGCACTGAACCACCTGTTTAAGTTGTGTTCCGCAATGCTCTAGGCGTCCTGATCACACTGGTGTTTGGATCCTGGTGCACGTGCTTGCAGGTCTAGTTGTCAACATATTGGAGTTTTATTATTTAAATCTCCCGATACTACTGTACGGATAACACTGCCTCGTTTTTCTAACAGGTGCAGTACACATGAACTGAACCCTGCCTCGCACCCTTAAGGTCAGCATTCCTCACATGCTGAAAACACACCACATAGTAGTGCAGAAAACACATTTTTTTTCTGAAAGAACAACTGTTGTATTTAAAGCTCTGTGAGATTCTGTTTGATCGGAGCACATGCTGTCGGCCCCCGGGGTAAAATGACATCAGTTTAAACAAAGAATCCCCTGGACGCCGCTCTAACACAAACACTGCCCTCCACCAACCTCCTCTCTCCACCTGACAAAACACGCTTCCCCATTCTCATTCAGCTCGTCCAGGCAATATTTGCAGACATCTCCCTGCAATCTCAACTATGCCGTCAGGATGAGCTTCCAATAATGTAATTAGTGTTACAATAACAAAGAGGGGGATGTGATTTATTGCAGGGATTAGTTTCGGTCCTCTGTAACAGGACACAAAGTCTGCGCAGTGTTGGAATCAAACAGGTGGTTCGAGTCCTCTGAAGGTTTTTTTTGGCAGTGATTTTGTGTCAGTTTTTTGAGTTCAATTCAAAGATCAGATAAAAAGGAAAATGGAAACAAACATTTAAAAAAAAAGAATTAAAATCAAGCCAAACTTGTCCCAGGAATATTGTTTTACTCGCGTCATAAAGCAAGCATGACATTGTTCCTCATAATCACATGTATCAAATGGTTTTGTTGCCTCATCAGAATACTAATTAACATGTCAAAGTGGGTATCGCCAGAGCAGCTGAGTTTTTCATCCTGCAGTTTCAGCCTCTGCAGCACAAACTGAGATTCAGGGTGAAACAGGCTCTTACCCATCATGTTGAAAAGGCTGTGTGGTGCAAACTGTCTGGGCATTTTCTGCACTGCTTCCTTATAAATAGACAGAGCCTCCTGTGGAGGGAGGGGAAAAAAAGTTAACTTAGCAAGTCCAGTTTTTGATCAGCATCAGCATTATTCAGGCCTTGTAATTGATGAGGGACTTTGTGCCAAACAGATCTTATTATCTGCAGTTTCTCACCTCCTGCTGGCCCTGCTCATGGAGCAGCTTTCCCAGGTTGTACAGGCAACTGGTGACAGAGCTCTTGTGGGCATGGGGGTCCTTTAAGTTCTCATCTGGGATGTCGGCACAGGTCAGAAAGATGCGTTTGGCCTCCTCAAGGTTGCCCTGGTTCATCAGGATGATCCCTGTGTTCAAGTAGGCCGCTGAGAGGGGGAAGGGAATTAATTAAACGCCACATCTTGCCATGTGGATGTAGGGAAATTTGAAACACAGGATTATAACCTGCTGTTCCAAACATAATCCCCTAAATAAATAAATCCAAGTCATTTTCTGATGCTGTGAAAAATGCTGATTCATGCACAAAGTGTTTAGATACATGCGGATATAGCAGTAATCAGCACAGGAAATCACGTTATCAGCTGCGTATTTTAAAATGAGGAATTGGGGAACATGGATGTGCAGAAATATCCCCAAAAGGGGACAGTACAGAGGTCCAAAGCAGATAAAATAACCATATGAAAAAGAAATAAATTTATTCTCAAAGGAGATTAAGTTAAAAAAAAAAACCTGATGATAACTTATTGAGTTGAAAACCCAGTCCTCCCTCATAAAATTGTCCTTGGTACAGTAAGAGATGGACCCTCATCTCACACACGAGCACCCAAGTGTGAAATTGAATCTCATCATTTCACCGTCAAGCTGAAATAGTCTGAATATAGCCCTCTAAATGAGCACGTGGCAAAAGAACATCTTATTCAGCATTCAATTTGGACCACGACGGGGATCCAATAATCTTTAATCTTTAAAGCTGGGGTAGGCAGTTTTATTTTGGCGTTTATTAGGCAAAAATCCCATAATAACCTTTCAGCATAGTGTAATTTAAATGGACTGAGAGAAAATGATTCTGCACCTTCTCTTGGCTCTGTGTCAGGCTCTAGAAGATTTCAGCCTATGATGAGACTTTGGCGAATTACAGGTCATTTCAGAAAGAGGGCGTTCCTATTGGCGGGACAGTGACAGCCTAATTCAAAGGCGGAGAATCCTGCAGAGAAAGCTTGGCAAGAACTTCCTACACTACAAAACATCCCAAGAAAGGAAGACAAAGACAGTCTCAAAGAGAGTCTGTCAACAAACGACATAAGACACGAGTCAATATTGGTGAAGCATTTTAAAAGATGGAGAGATGGAGTTAGTGTTCATTGCTCAACTAGTTGAAAACCTCACTTTTTTCCAGCTCATTTAGGAAGCACTGACTGGAAATTAACAAATCACTAGGACTTGAAGCATCCAGCCCTGCAGTTACCACAACACTCATTAATGATTTGGTGCGCTAGTGCGTGCAAATTTATCACTCAATTAAATATTCCATTTGAGAAAAGACTGAATTATTAATTTGTGGACAAACTATCAGCAGCAGCATCATAAAGTCTGGGCCATTTTCAATAAGGATCATTTACTTCGACATGCAAGTTAAAGTTCACAAATTGGTTCAATTTCATGATAAAAATCAATTTGATCGTAAGACCTTTTTTTACAGGGTCCAGAGATGGAGAAAGCTCCTCAGAGCACCTGAACCGTCAGAAACAGTTTTCACTGCAAGTTAAAACCATCATGAAAACACGCAAATTAACCTGTACATTAAATTAAAGGCAAAGTATCTACAGTCATTTAGTAGTTAGTTTAATAGTACTTTAGTAGTTTAGCCTTCTACCAGTGTTGCCTACTTGGCTACTTTCTCGCTAGAGTTAGCAACTTTTCAGTCCCTCTACGCGAATTCATTTCTAAAAAGCAACTAGCAACAAATTTAGCAACTTAATCAGATCATTAAGACAAAAGAGAGAATTATATTGTAATTCATCCCCATGCATGCTGCTCAGCGTTATCGCAGTCTGTGGCTCTGCGCCATTAGCGTGGGGTTTCTACCCCTCTGTCCTCTCTCCTCTTGTGCCGTGCAGTAGGTGTGGGAGTTTAGTTACGGTGAGTTTTGATAGTTACGTTGACACTCTCACTCTATGGATTGGAAGCACGAGAAAGTTGTTTAGGATTTTTCCATTGAATCTAATTCAACAAAGTTTTAATGCTTTTATTAATGCACGATGATGTCATTAATGTGCAAATTATCTGGCAACTTTTAGCAACTTTGGGAGCTAGTGCTAGCTGCTTTATTTGGAAAAGAGTTGGCAACTCTGCCTTCTGCTAACCAGAGCCAACGACTCACAGCTTAAAGTTCACATTTATGTAGCTAACGTTAGCTAGAGCCTTAAATCACAGTCTGTCATCACAAAGTGCATTACATGGACCTTCAGTCGGCGGCTGCAGCAAGTCACATTCAGCCAGCGCCAGGGATCTGATCCTGGACTGCTCCATTCCCCAGTGAATAAGCAAACTTTCTGTTGCTGCCTTAACACAAGTTAAAATCGGCACTGTTGCTGGACACCAGCCCAATGTGACACCCAGCACTGGGGTTTGCGCTTGCTGAATTTAAGCCACAACAGCTGACAACTGAAGGTCTGACTCGAGAGCTGCTGCCCACCCTCCTTCCCATGAAGCAGTTCTCCGTGGTGGGGAGTGAGGTGGAGGGACCGCAAGGTGGCTAGCTAGCTAATTCTTGTCTCATTTGTGGTTTGATAAAAAGAGAGAGAGAGAGAGTGCGAGACAGTGTGTAAACCTACAATAAAAAAAGATTAAATACATCAATGTATGGGAAACACTTAGGATCGTGATAGACTTGCCGCTTGATCGAACGTACACGTACACAATGCGCCGTGTCTGTGTATATACTTGCTGAAGCACTACACAGCCAAAACGCACAATACTGGCAGTCTCCACTTGGGGCAGACAACAGAACTATAACCCGGGTAGTGCATGCCGGGTGTTGTAAACAAACATGGATGCCCTTGATATGCTTGATGAGGAAGAAGAACTATGTCACTATATAACAGCATGGAAACATCATAGAGATGCGGGTAATTCCGCACCAGGTCTGTCAGCCATTGCTCCGACAGCGACTCCGTCTGGTCTGATCTCACGGTCACCACATTCATTCGCACAAGAGCCTCTGGTGGTCATGTGAATATTGCATCTCGCGCACATGTCATGGTACCTCGCGTTGAGATGTGCGGCCGACACATCAAACGAATGCAGATCACGCATGGCAGCCATGATGCGGTCGCGTTTGCAACAAGCATATTACGGCCCTTAAACTGTCCGAAGCATGGGAGGGGCTTAGAACTGCCTTTTTTTGCCTTTTCCAGATTTCTGCCTACTCAAGCTTTAACTTTAATTAATCAAAGACAGAAGTTGAAAAATGTGTGAGAACATCTGCTACAAAATGAGACTCTCTTTTTTTACTTACATGCCAGTGTTGGCCGACTCCCAATGGCCAGCTTGTAATAATGCAGCGCTTCAGTGAAACGTTCATTCTCCTGCAGCAGCAAGCCACTAATAGACACAAAAATAATAAAGCAAAAATGAGACATTTTATTACAACCATAAACTCCATAACAGAGGATTTGCGTGCTGTTCTAAATCTGTGAACCCAAAATTACAGCACGTCAAAGTGATGAGAAGACTGTGGGTGAAAGCTGAGAATACAACAACAAAAAGTGTAGCAGTTTCTGAACCTCTTACCCAATATGCCCCTGCATAATCCCCAATACACCCAACCATCCATCATATTCAAATAGCACCTCAGTTACGAAGAGTGCAAAAACACCATCACTCGCTTTTCCCTTCTCCCTGTGTTGCTTTGCCAGCTTCCTGACACCCGTAACTTGAGAGGAAACAGAGAAGTGGGGAGAAAAACAGTGTCAGCATGAGAGCGAGAGACATGGGTCTGCTGTGAGGTTTTGGCACCTTTGACACTCTATATGTTTCAGGATTGGAAGCGGCTTTGTGTCCTCCCACAGGCCCCGCAAACCAAGACTAATCAAATCAGTGGCAGAAGGTACAAAGAGCCACCAGGGACACACAAAGTTATTTCCTCTTTGTTGCGCTCTTGCATCACGCTTAGCTCCGAGTCTCACTCGCTTCTTTCCTCATGTATTAGATCTATTTTTGTTTTCTTTAAAGCTCTTCCTGTCTGTCACTCTCCCTGTCAGTACGCCTTTTCCCCCTTCTCCCTTTCTGCCTTTCTTGTTCTTGCCACAGCAATCTCAAGTGATGGATGGGAGGAATCGGAAGCCGTTCGTGTCAAGACTTTGCAAACAGGAGGGGGAGGGGGGGGGGGGGCGTCTTTAACACTCACAGGTTATACAGCATGTCAGCCATGTTCCCTCGGTGGTGCAGAGCGTTTCTGTATGCCTTCTCCGCCTCCGCCATCTTGCCCTGGTTCTTCAGTACGTTCCCCAAGTTTCCCCAGGCTACAGGAGACATGTGTCAGTCAAAAGTTGCACTTTCAGAGCGGAAAAACACAACATTGGTATTAAAATAAAAACAGTGTGATTGCCGTCAATTTGCCAAACTGTTATTAATAGTTAATTAAATAATGAGTAACCACAAAAGCCTCTGTTGAGCATTGTACATAGTTGCGCTGCTTGTGTTCACTGATGTAGTGTTAGTAAGATTTCAAAGCAGGTCTTTGCATGAAGGAGCAGAAAGTCATATTTTGGGGTTTCCTCTGTGGGCCTAACTGTGTTTCAGTTCCCCAAGCACAGACTTTAGTTCCTGTGATTCTCTTGTATACTTTTCCTACTTTTTTACACCTTGCAAGATCACGAACAAGGCTGGGTACACTGAGTTTCGGAGGCTCGCAGCTTAAGGATAGAAACCTTTTTTTCCCTAGTCAACAAAATGAGCCAAACCTCTCAAATGCATTGGTGGTTTAATTTTGTCAGTTGTAGAAGAACTTTGCCTAAAAGGTTCAGTATGTAACTTTTTACCTGTATAAAAAGTTTTTCATTGCCAATGGGCGAACAGGTTGTACTGTCACTTAAAAAACTGAGACTTTCCCTAACTTCCTCTGTTGCCTCTTGCAGCAATGGATGTATAAATAGACCTGGATGCAGCGTTGAGGGCAGGGTCTAGTTCATTCCAACGACAGTTGCTCAGGAAGCCAAAATTATTCAACTGCTGCCTTTAAAAAACTGGATAATCAGTGCTGCATCCGCATCATTGGGCCCATAGCCTGCTCTAGTACTGTAGTCTCTATATACAGAATCTACATTCAGTGAATGTAGAGTCTGTAGGCAAACCCCAGAGATCTTGCCTCCGGAAGAAGAGCGGAAGAGCCCTGGTTTCCGGTTGTAGGCTGTTTGTAGTCCGCGTGATATTGATCATTATACAACAGTTAGTTCCGGCCCTGCAATCTGATTGGTCGAGAGACAGTAAAACCGTGATGATATTGGAGTACAACATCACGGTTATTTCACTGTGTATGTATCACTCCGCCTCACAGCTAATTGCAATCAACAATCAAATCAAAACTGAAGGTTAGTGTCAGTTAGGTCAGCAGTTGCGTTGTAGGCTAATTAATTCATCCACTGTCAAACAGCCAAAAATATGGATTTATTTCCTAAAATGCAATAAATCATTACAGCGTGTGTCCTGTGGCCTCATGCCTACGACCGAATCACAGCCGTGACGATATCACAGTACAACATCACTCCCTCTCGTGTGATATTGCTTAAATCATGTTTGAGCCGGCTGCAGTTGTTGCCAGGTTAAACACTCCATGCAGTGAACTAACGAGGCAGAACATAATTGGCGTCACTGCAAACTCTGAATCCATCGCAATGGATCAGCATATTTACTTATATATAAACAGAAGACGGAAACGGAAATTCACCTCCTCAAACCGGAATGCCAAAAAATCAGGGGTCTGTCCCCAGAGGCTGTATCGCCGTCTGCCGGAAGTCAGACGCCGAATACAGCCGATGGGTTCCAAGAATGGTGCACTAGAGACTTACACTGGCCGAGTAGCTACTTCTGGTTTAGCACTCTTCTAACTTGAATGGAGTTATCTAATCTTGCCGCTCTTCCAGATTTTATAAATATTATCGGACCGCATGGATTAAATCCTGATTGTGAAATGAGTCATTTCACAGGGGCTGTGACTCAAAATAATTTATCTGCTAATTTACAGATGTTTTATCCTGATAGAAGTCTATGGGACAAAGTCTTTTTGTGGCCAAACGACATCACGTGACAGGAGTTGTAAGTTTGGCCACTACGCAAATTGTTTCCTGGGGGCCTGCTAGCAACCTATTGACCAACTTCTATGTAAAAGACTCAAGCCGTATTTTCCAGAAAAATCCAAAGAATGAGACGTGATGCACGTTCCCAGGTGACTTGCAATTTTCAGCTACAGCGCTAACAGAATGCAACAGCAGCTAACATTGGCTAAGAAATCCGCTAACGTCATCAAACGCCCTGCACCCATTCCTGTTACATTCATTTTGCAGCAGCGGCCCAGCGTAGACAGACCTTCAAATGGCGCCCTGTAGGAATTCTAATTCAGCCAGAGCAAGATAAAGCACCCGAGCACCAGGGGTCTGATCCTGGACCGCACCAAGTCCTTACCGGATCAGCAAACTTTTCTGTTGCTGGCGTTACATGAATTAGACCCGGTGTTGCCGCTGGCCACCAGGGCTGGGGTTTGCACTGGCTGAATTTGAGTTGCTACAGCAGCTAAGCTCCAAGCTGCTGTCCGCGCTTCTCCTGGGGAGGTAGTGTCCTAGCAGTAAAGAGTGAGGTGAAGGGTCAACAGTCTGTGCTACCTTGCTGATCTTTGTCTCATTTTTTGTCTGATAAATGGTAAATCCATCTATGTCAGTGCCCAAGGCACTAAAGAGAAATCCTAACATTAGAAGAAGCTCTGATATGTTGAATATATCGTGATATTGCTGTTTTTAGCTGGTTAATGTTGGCTAACGTCAGCTTGCTTGCCAATGCAGACGATATGTTTGCTAGCTTATGTTTGCTGCTGTCTCTTACCTTTGGCAGGATTAACACCAATCCCGGACTTGTAGAGATTCTCCTCGTTGCTCCAGTCTCTGTTTCTTTGAACAGTTCTGAGTCCATTCAGCAGCACTAGTCCCGTACAGAGACACAACAGGAAGGTCTTGCAGCCTCTAGTCCTCAGTCTGATGTACAGGGTTCTTGCACCAGCAGCAACCAGTAAACAAAAGCCAATACTGGGGATGTATAGTACCCTCTCTGCAATTACAAAACCTACATAAAAGAACAGGTTTGTGGCTGGGATGAAAGGCAACGACAGGATGCCCAAAGAAAATAGTACTAAGTTTTCTGTAGGGGGCAGGGACGTCCGTGGAGGGCAGTGGTGGAGTCCAGCTGACCCGTTTAGGGTGGTCTTTGGCGGCCCCTGGTCTGTGTTATGGTTTGTGTCAGGGGCATGGTAACCATTCCCATTGGTGATTGATTTCCCATTTGTGACAAAGGCTTTCCCATTGGTCTCCTTAGCTTTGGAGGCGGGGGCACGGAGACCAAACAACCCCAGGAGGATAAATCCACTATAAAAGGCAACAGTGTGAAGGTTCCTCCAGTCAGCCAAGGACCTGACCAAGGGCACGGCGTCCATGGACCAGTCGAAACTGAGCTTATCGGGGCAGAGCAGCAGCCAGGCGTTGGCGGCCGGCAGGTGAAGGAACGTCAGTGTCCGAGTGAGAAAATGTGGCGAGTCAGCTGCGGGGTTGTCCGAGTTGGAGAAGTTGGGAGGCTTGTTGCCCATCCAGTAGAGACGAGCTGACAGCAGAATCACTCCCCAGGAAACCAGCGTGCCGAGACTCAGCAAAACACTGATGTTCTTTTTCTGGTGGAGAGGAGAAATAAAAGTCAAGCTAAAGAAAAACACCTAAATCAACATTTCAGACCAGAAGAGCTCAGTCAAAGCCACAGTATATTTGTCCTTGTTCCAGAGCACCTGAATTTGTTTTCATTTTTAGAAGGCTATATTAATACCTGGTATGGGTTATGGGTCTGGATCGCAGCTGAATCAGAGCAAGACGGTCCTATAAATGTATTAGTGGTCTCTGCAGACAACAAGTTATTAAGAAAGATGTTCCACCCTTTCAGTACGAGCTCTTAGGGTTTGATTTATAAAGCCACCTTTGAAAAAATGCTTTGAAATGTATTACCCCACCACCCCATATAGAAAGAGAAACTACGCAAAGCAATCTCTGGAATGTTTTTGATAGCTGCCCGGGGCATAAACCGCACTCACGTACAATTATACAGTCCTTTGTAACACTAGCATATTTCTTAAAATTAAAATGCACCATGGCCAGAAACAACACAGCTCTGTTTACATGAAAATAGTGAAATATGACATTTTCAAACTGGTGAAAGACACACTGGGATTTGGACAGCTGTGCTCTGTAATGGACGTCACTCTCTATCAGCAACACTGGGGCTGTTTACATCAAGAAGGAATCATTTTTTAATGAAATATGTCAGATTCAAACTGGTGAAAGACGAGTTATTTTGAATCTCACATTTGGTTTGCCAATAAATTCTTAAACGTCAAGACCACTTTATTGAGGATAACAGGGGGGAAAAACCAAAAGGAAAAAAGAAAAATCATCACACTTCCACAAAGATGTGAAGAAAAGATTATTTCAACAATTTTCCATATATTAGTAAACCACACTCGCCTCAGTTCTGACCTACTTGGGGTCAACTTTGAAGTAAATTTAAAGCTTTCCTTCTAAGTCTTTCCTTGTTGCCTGTCAGGATTGCAGCGAGTGTGACTGGTAATCAGCTTAGGACTCATTGTGTTGGTATGTAGATGCTGTTTGCATCTCATAAGAGCATTAATTCTGCAGCATGATCACTATTAGGTCCTCTGTCACGCAACACCTTTAAACTAACTGTCACACGCCAACCAGGCACTCGCTGCGGCTTCAACTGAATGCTCCCTTCATAAACTTAAAATCGTGTTAAACTTCTTAAAGCTGTATTGATACATACTTGGAAGGAAACATAGAGGACATTTGGTTGAGGACTCTTCAAGGAAAACAGTCTTTGGTGCATAAATTAGATTCAGGAACTATGTGATACTCCCCAGGGCCAAAAGCATAATTCATTTCAGTTGCTTCACAATGGGCTGCATAGACGCCTGCAGTTTGAGTTACAGCTGCTAAGACATGACAAGGTTGTGCGATCCCATCCTTGACCTCTTGACCTTTGATCAATGGCTTGTTAAATTAATTTGTCTGTGACAGTGAAGAGAAAAATGGGAAGGTGTAGCTGTAACACTGGTGACAGCCGGACATTTTCTGTCTGTCAGATGCTCTGATTTTAGATTTCTTCTAGGGATAGGCATTTCAATTAATTTCCATATTCAAATACTTGAGTCAAAAATATTATAGAGTACTTGTGGACCTGTGAAGAAAACATCAAACACGCAGTTAGAATGGGGTCTGAAATGAAACTCCAAGTGAAAAGGTAGGGGTTAGGATAAGCCTTCCTTCCAGCTGTTCTTATTCTGAATTCATCGAATACCACTGCTTTGTCAATGATGTCGGCATAAAACACCTGACGCTAATGGCAACCTTTCTCGGCTGTGTAATGTGTGGCTAGGCGGCATCAGCATGTAACGTTTCTGGACGTAACCTTTCACGTTGTTATAATACTCACCGCGGCTGGGCGCTGTCAGTATGTAATGCGGCTGGACTTAATCTTTCGTGTTGTTATAATATGCCGCCAGGCAGCCGGTTCAGCACCTGTCGCAGCGATATGATACACTGCTGGACAGTGTCAGGTTGCTGGTAACAATGTAATATAAAGAGCTGGTGAGTCCCTATAGGGTGGGCAGAGGGGTGGTGGATGGATCCAACAAATCCCGGACTTTCACACAACTTTCGCTTTTCGAATGCCAAACTAACGTTTTTTCGTCAAAGTGTTGGTCAACCTGGTCTCACTCCAAAGGCGTCGAAATGCAGCGCTTGGGCAGTGACTTGTGGCGTCAGACACTGACGAAAATACCCGTCCTTTAACGTCAGAATGATATGCAGTTTTTTGCTGTAATAGTTTAATGGAGCTCGGCGATGTCATGGGGAAACGTGGCAGGACAACAACAAAAGTTAAGGAGGCAAAAATCCGACTGGGCGGGCGGGAGTGGTAGTGGATGGATCCAGCAAACACTGACTTTCACCCCGGAGAGCGATTTTTGCACCCCGTAAGATTCTAAAGCCAAACCCTGTTCTTTTGTCCTAAACCTAACCACGTGCTTTTGTTGCCTGAACCCAACCAAGTGTGTGAATGTCAATTCGTGGTGTTGTACCGATGTAGTGCATTTATTTTGAAAGAGACTGTATGTAAACAGTAAATTTCCTGTGAAAACAGAAGTGTATTTTGAAAGAAGACAATGCATGTAACTGACATAACTTGACATGACGTCCAAGAACCCAGGGTACCTTGCACGTTGTATGTGGACATGGAAAGTCCATGACCAAATGTTGATATGTGACGAGGTCGGAGTGAGAATGTGTTGCGTTAGTAGCACGTCCTGTAACATCAACAGCAGATGCAGAAGGATACCCAGTGCGTAATATGTAGACATGAAAAGCTACTGACAAAGAGGCAAGATGTGATGACTTGGTTTGAGAACATGTTGAGATTAGCTATTATACGTTAGGGAGCAATGGAATACAAGTAAGTGTGTTACGTATGTAAACTACAACATATAAGTAATTTTATTCCGTCGCAGTTACAGTTCAAATTTGTGGTATTCTGAATACAGTTGCTCCCCAGCGATCCAACTCACGTCACCATCTGCACGCTTGTCGATCACGGGTTCTAGATCCTTGAGACGTCCTGTCCCCCACCTTCGGACTCTCTCCCACAAGACATTCCCAATATTGACTCCCTTTCTACCTTCAAATCCCGTCTGAGAACACACCTTTTCGAGTGCTACTTAGCAAGTGCTAAAATGTGTGCTAATATGCACCATGCCTTACTAAGACTGCACATTATCCTACAAAACATGACAACAACCCACTAAATAAAAGCTAACAAATAACATCCTTTGGGAAAATAAATCTTGAGGAAATGGGACTTATTACAACCACATTTTCATTACTCAATCACATAAAATAGTAAATTTAATAATAACTAAAACTGACAACCATATCTGGTGCTGACTAACGAGGGTAACAACGTCTAATGGACTGCACACACCCCAAACTTGCACTGCACATTCGTTTAATTTATTTGGTTGAAATACTTTCACTCTTATGCCAGGACCTGTGCAGACAGCAGTTACACCACTGTATGCCATCCAAAAATGTAATATTTTAATATGAAGCAGGGTTAATCTAAGTTTATATGTGTATTATTATGTTAAATGAATACTGACAGTCAAAGCAAGTATTCGAGAACTCGTGCCCATCCCTAATATCTTCAGAACCACATTTTGCTATGATGCTTTCTGAAATCAATTACTCCTTCAATCTGATTTAGTGGTGTGTTTTTGCCAACATTAAGCAAATCTGATTTCATTTATTTCATTAAACACTGATTTAAACTGAGACGTCACATCAGCGTACTGACGGAGACAGCCAGGCGCAGTCCTGACCGAAAAGTGCTCGTTGCTCATGTTCCTCCCAGAGTTTACCGAACGGACTGAACACGACATAACGTCATGAGTGATGAGCGCAGAGATGCTGCTCACTTCCTTATTCTGCGCCCATTTATTCTTTCCGAGCATCCGTAATATGTAATATGAACTCTATCTGAACCTGTCCGCGGGGAATTAGAGCTGTGCGTGTGTGTGTGTGTGTGTGTGTGTGAGCATGCTGTCGTAATGTAAATGCTGTTTATACTGTGTGGTATTACAGCTCAGGAAAGGATAAGGTAACATAGTAGTAGCCCTGTAGTGGTGTTATCAGTTTTGTCTTTGATGTAACTGATAATCACTATGAGAGCCTCCATAACTCAAAGTGTTGATCCAATGTTGCCCTGCGTTTCTTTTTATCTCTTAAGTGAGTTTACTCTCCCGCAGTAATAATTCAGACTCCCTGTATAATCCGCTCTGAATGAATTGCACAATAGGCAGATAAAAGCTACACAGTGCACAGAGAACAAGCTTTCATTTGTCTCATTAATAAACTTTTGAGAGTTATATCCCCTGTTCTTAGAATGAGCATGATGGAGTAAGCTCGTGCTCGCCTTCACGAACCATGATGGAAATCAAGTTATCCATAACAGGCCCATGTTAGGATTAGAGTAAGAGGTTTAGCATTGACTCGTATGACCTGCAGGCTCCAGCTGATTCCCCCACCTCCGAAATGGAAAAGCACGTTCCCTCAAGAGGTTAGCCGAGGGGGAGCGCAGCTAGTTACAGAAAGCCACTTGTCGATAGTGAGATGGAAAAGGGCCAGTTCAAGGAGTTCAAGATTTCAGAGCACTCTGCGAGGAAGTGAGAGTGGAAAAAAATTGGATATTGATTTGGAGTCTGAAAGGTGGTACACAAAGGATAAGAGAGAGTGACTTATACACAAAAACGGGGGGGTGCTCATTGATGGATGAGCCCATATTGCCTGTCAAGGGAGGAAACTGTCTGAGAAATCCAATTCTGCTTGGTATCAGAAGATAAGCCAATTCCAGCAAGAGAGTCATTTGTGGCATTTAGGTGAATGAGCTTCATTTTACCCCTCACCGCCTTGTCTATTTCTAAATCGTTCCTTAATTGACTTCTCGATCAATCACGCAACTCAAACTGCGAGCACCTAACAGAGGAGGCTGCTTTTCAGTGATGTATGACCACAAATCCACCAACTCAGCAGCACAACTTAACACAAGCTTTTTTAT